TTTGGCATTCTGGGTTCCAGTCCAAAATTTCTCCTCCTCCTTTCACAGCTTCCTATTCCGTGATCCTCCATCAGTCCACAGTTTGGTATCCATAATCTACAGCGTCCTGCCGTCCCTAAGGAAGCTTGCATTTCCCATGTTAACTTTGGCTCTGCTATTTGACATACGGCCTCCTTGCCCTCAACTCCAGGCTTTCGGAGGAGGCTCAGGGGAGGCCTCACCACTCCCTATAACTCCCTGAAGGGAGGCTGTAGTGAGGTGGGGATCAGCCTCTGCTCCCAGGTAACAACGATGGGACGAGAGGGAATGGCCTCCAGTTGCACCAGGGGAGGTCCCCGTTTTATCTTAGGAAGAACGTCTTTGCTGAAAGAGCGGTCTGGCACTGGCACAGCTGCATGGGGAGCTGGGGGAGTCAGCATCCATGAAGGTGTCCCAGAACCTTCCAACCACCTCTAAGAGAAATCCCTGCTCTTGCAGACGAGCCCTGTTCAGCAGGCAGCTCTGCAGAGTGCCAGCCAGCCCTGCCCCCATCCCGTGCCCTGCACAGAGGTGCGGGGCCCGCTGCGTAGGCCCTGAGCCTGCAGCTGATGGGAAATGCTCTGCTCTTCACAGCTCAGCTGGCAGAGCTGCCCGCGGCGCTGCGGCGCTGCAGCGTGCAGCGTTTCCACTTCCCCCGGCAGGCGGAAAGTACCGCCCGTCCCCGTCTGAAGCCCCGCCCCCTGCCGGAAGCCCCGCCCATGCCGGAAGCCCCGCCTGATCGCGCGCTCCCGAGCCGCTCCGTGCAGGCGATGGGTGGGGGCAGAGCCGCGTGGGGCGGGGCGGGGCGGGGCGGGGCCGGGGTGCGGAGCGGCGGCGGCGGGGTCTTCGCCCGGCCCAGGTGGGTGCCTGGAGCCCGCCGGGGCTGTCCGTGGTGTAGCGGGGCTCCTAGCTGTCTGTTGTCGCTGCGGCGTTCTCCGGTGCGGGGCGGAGCGGGGCTGGCCCTTGGGACGCCGGGCCCGGCTGGGACGCGCCGGGCCGAGCTGACAGCGCGAGGGTGGCCCCGCTCCGGCCCCTCCGAGACGGCGGGCGGCGGCTCGGGGCTGCCCACGGGCGGCGGAGACCCGGCGGGGAGGACGGTGTCGCCGCCCGGGTCCCGCTACGGCCCGGAGCCTCTCCGGGCCCACCGGGGTCAGAGCCCGGCAGGGCACGGCCGGGGAGACGCGGCAAAACCCACGCGTGCGCGGAGCAGGGCGGCCCCGGGCCGCGGAAGTCACGCGTGGATTCGGTGCTCCGCGCTCCCCCGATGTGGCCGCTGGGGTGCCGCACCTACAGCCCCTCCGCGTCCGTGCCTGCTGCGCGGCCTCGCTGTCGTGCGTGGATCCCCGCGCGGGGCCGCAGGAAGAGGGGCTCGGAGGGCGCTCCTCCCGCTCGCACATGGGGCAGCGCTGCGCCTCGGGCGCGGTTGGATGCGGTTCTGCGTCCCTATGAGTTTTGCATTTGCTACGTTGCGCTGGGGAGGAAGCAGTGACATGTATTTTTTCCTGTTGCAGAGGTGTGGGGCCTGCGGCTGTGTGGGGGAAAGATCATGTGCAGCTCCTAGCCAAACGTGGCTGGCTCGCAGGTGAGTGGGGCTGGTGAGCGCCGTGCTGAGCCCCTCTACCAGGATGTGGTTCCTCCTCAGCTGAGCAAACAGTGGCGGAGGTGGAAAGCTCCTCTTGGACAAAGTGTGTTTGTCACACCAAGCTTGAGGCAGATTGTTTATTTGCAGTGTGGGTTTCAAGCACTGCTGCAGCGAGGAATCCCGAAGGGTTGTGGCAAACAACCCTTGTCATCAGTGCTGTCCTTTGAGGGAGGGCATGGCACAAACAGCTCTGTTGTGCTGGGTTTAACTGTTGTCCCCAGGGCATGCTGGGGAGAGGTTGAGGCCCACTTGGGAGGAGCACTGTGGGGCAGAACAGGAAGGCTTGGGTTGTAGAAACTTGGAGATGAAAAAAAGCCGTTTGTACTGAAAAGTAGCAATGTATTGCAGCGTGGTGTGGTGGGGATGCTCTTCCACCTGGGCCTCTTGCTCTGATCCTGATGCATGGGCCTCAGCCCCAAACCAGCTCCATCCTTTCTTAGTTCTTCAAATCCTCTGCTGCAGCCCAAGGCCTTTAGGCAAAGGGTCATGGCCCAAATGCAGAGTCTGCACTGTGGAAACAAGAAATTATTTGGTTATGGAGCCATAATCTCCAGCCCAGCACTGTGCAGACGATCTCCGTGCAGTGATGCAGCCTCACTGCATGTCAATCCCCCTCAGGCACAGGCTGTAGGCAGGCTGTTTTGTATGTTCCTGGTACTGGAGATGGTTCCTGGTGCTGAGGATGATTCCTGGTAGTGAGGACAGTGTCTTTCTGTCCCCACCCCCACAACCACTTAATTGCTGGGAAGCACCACAGCAACATAATTGGTGTCTGGTGACCCAGCTGGAACAGGGGAGCTTGGCAGAGGGTTTATATACTGAGCACTTTGTACAAGCACTGCCTTAACTTCCTTTCTCTTTTCTTTCTGCTCTCGCTGTCAGCGCACGGGACGGATGAGGCACCACCCATCCATCATGTCCGACTGGATGCTCCTCGGGCTGATCGCAGTGCTGGTCGTGCTGCTGCTGCTCACCATCTTTGCCTTCGCCGTCTACTCAGGGCTCTTCACAGAGGTGGTGGTGAGCGCTGGCTCGCCGCCCGTCGGCAGCATCACACTGGCCTACAAGTTCCGGGTGGGCCCCTATGGAGAGTCGGGGCAGCTCTTCACTGATGGCTGCAGCATCTCCTCGAAGCTTTGCTCCATTGGTGTTTACTACGACAACCCGCACACGGTAAGGCTGGGGCAAGGCAGCCCCTTGATGGTGCCAGAGGCACCCGTGGCTTGTCCTGCTTTGGAGAGCACTGGGGGCCCGTCAGGTCTCCAGAGCTGCAAAGGGTGATCTGTGTGCCAAGGCACCTGAAAGCTGAGGGTTTCTTGGGTAATCCTCGTCAGGTGACGAAAGTTGCTGTCACTGACATCTTCTGTTGGCCAAGCCTTACCTCTGCTCTGGATATAGAGCAGAACCTGGTGCCTCATGTCATCTCATGGCAAGGCATTCCCCAGCTCTGTGCCTCATAGAGTCATAGATTCATAGAGTCATTATGGTTGGAAAAGACCTCTAAAGATCACGAAGTCCAACCATGAACCCATTACCACCATACCCAATAAACCATGTCCCTACATGTGGCACACTGCTGCATTTCTTGAACATCTGCACAGATGATCTCAAAGCAGGTGGTCTCTTTGGCTTGCTGGATCCATACCCACATTCCTCCTATTGTTTCTGCTGCTGTCCCTGAGCTTCCTTGTAGTCATTTAATCCCCTGAGTGTTCTCACTGAAGCCTCAGCAGGTGCGTGCTGAAGTCTCTTGGCTGATGAAACAGCACTGTAACTGCAAAGCAAAGCACACTGGAACCTGCTGAAGGATGAAAGGCCTCTGGGTGGGCTTGTGCTGGAAGGCTGTGGGGCAGTGCTGGGTGCCACCCTGCAGGCTGTGCCTGCCTGTGCATCAGAAGTGTCAGCAGTGACTTCAGAAGAATGAGTGTTACAAAAGAATCAGGCAGGGATGGCAGGAGGTGCATGAGGTGCCAGGGCTCTGCATGGTGGCAGGAATTCCCTTTCTATGTTGTATGGACCTGAGCTTTGATGGTTCTGCATGCATCTGCCAGAGCAGCTCGGGGGGTGCACTGCAGGCTCAGGGAGAGCCTCCTATATTCCAGGCTGTGCCCACTGTCTCCCACTGCCCCTGGGCACCACTGACAGAGCCTGGCACTGTGCTCTCTGCCCCTTTCTTGCAGGACTTTTGGACACAGACAAGAGCCCCTGGGCCTCCCCTTCTCCATGCTGAGCATTCCCAGCTCTCTCAGCCTCTCCTTCCAAGAGAGATGCTTCAATGCCGTCATCCGCTTGGCCGCCCTTTCCTGGGCTGCTCTGCTCTGTCCATGCCTCCCCAGCATTGGGGAGCACAGAACTGGGTCCAGGGCTCACGCTGTGGCTGTCTGCTGGTCCTGGTGCTGTGGCAGGAAGAGTAAGGTGACTGCTGGGCTCCTGCTGGGTGTCTGCAGCTCTGGCCACCCTGCTCATGGGCTGGCTTGTGACCCTGGAGGAGGGAAGGCAGGACCGCCAGAGCAGGGGAGCAGCAGGAAAAGCACTGCTGGTGGCTTTGAGTGCTGCAGAACCCCTGCCAGCAGTGCTATAAGCGTCTTAATGGACAAAATTAATATTAATACTCTCTTTTTCTTTTTTTTTTTTCCTTTTTATTCAATATTTAGCAACCCAAAAGGCTTCTCCCACCTCTGGCAGGGACAAAAATAGCTGCTCAGCAGGGGCTTGATGTGGCAGGCAGGCTGCTGCTCAGCTCCAGCCCAGCACTTCTGCCCAAGTTCAGCCTGGGGCATGCACTGGGGCCCCTTGCCTGCTGGTGCTCTGCACCCAGCCCTGCCCCAGTGCTTGGTGGATGAGGCCAAAATGCTCCCCAGTGCACTTCCACACTGCCTGTAAGGCTGAGGGACATGGTCATAAAGTACAAAGGAGTTCCTTTCACTTCTTCCTGGGTGTGCCTCTAACAAGGTGCCCTGTTGTCTTGACTCTGCATTGGATGGGGATGTGGCCCAGGAGGAGATTCACTTCCTGACTTTGTGTGCACTGAAGATGCTGTATGTGGCACTTGGCCAGCTAAAGCACTTCCAGTGAGCAGAGACAGTCACCTTCCTGGTTCCTTGGGTCTTTGCTCAGTGTCTGGTCTGTTTTTCATTGCTCTGATCCCATAGCTGGGGCAGATGGGGTGTCCGCTGAACCTTTCTTCTTGCCATTTATCTGTTCTTGTGCGAGGATTTGGGGATGCTGGGGCTTTCCTGCACCCACAACAGGGACCCTGTGATGCACTGGAGACCAAGAGCAGCTTCACTTTCTATTATGGATGCCATTCATCCCTTGTCCGATGCAGCAAAACAGGAGTTGTTGCTCTGTGGAGGAGAATCTCCTTGTTCCAGCCTTTCCCAGGGTGCTGCACAGAGCCCATCTGTAGCTCCTTCTTGCAGCACACGAGGGCAAGAGTGAGCCATTTTGCCTGCTGATGGATGCTGCTGCTCCTGATGCTCTGCTCTTGTTTTTTCTCTTATCCTCTGTGCTCATTTCCTCTCTGGGATGTCCCATCTTTCATGCAGTGCTGGAGGATGCTTGAGGGGCAGGGGAGGCATGAGAGTCCTGTGATGCTGGTTGCTGGAGAGTGTCCGTCTGTCCATTTCACTGCTGCTATCAGACATCCTGGCGGTGTATGGGGAGTTGTGCAGCCTTGCTCAGGGTGAGCTTGGAGGCTGTGGCCCTCCAGCTCTGAAGGCAGCAGAAGGCAGCTCTCCTGGTTGCTGACCTTCTGTCTTCTGTCTGTCCAGAAGCCTGGAGAGCTTCAGGGGCAGCTGGCAGGCCCCCCTGTGCCCGGTGTGTCCCTGCAGTGTGTCACACAGTGAGCTGAGAGCTGGGACTTTGAAGAAACGTAAAAGGACACCTCCACCTGGGTGTGCTTTGCCATGTGGAGGTGACAGCAGCTCTCTGCCTCAGTTTCCCCACCCCTAAAGCGGAGCGCTGTGGCAGAGGTCACGAGATGTGCTTTCTGTGTGGCTGCCAAGTGTCAAGCAGCCAGCGTGTGCCTGCGCTGCACTCTTGTCCTGGAGAGCATGGCTGGTTTGAGGCTGGGTCAGGCTCTGTGGGGAGCAGGTACCAGCTTGATGTGTATTGATCTCCCGGGTCTTGGATGGTATTCAGCTGCTCTCCTGATGCTGCTCCTCTGTCCCTTCCACCAGGTGTCTCCTGAGAAGTGCCGCTTTGCCATCGGCCGAATTCTGAGCGAGGGGGATGCGAAGCCATCAGAAGAGCAGATCAGACGGTTCCAGAAGTATGGCTTCAAAATCTTCACCTTCCCCACGCCCAGCCACGTGGTCATGGCAAGCTTCCCGTTCACCACACCTTTGTCCATCCATCTCGCAGTCAACCGTGTGCACCCAGCCCTGGACACCTACATCAAGGTAAGCATTGGTGGCACAAGGAGTGTCATGCAGTGAGCAGTGACTGCACTCCCTGCTCCCTGTCCTTTGGGAGCCATCTGCTAGCTTGCTCCTGCTGCCAGTGCAGCCGTGGCAAGCGTGTTTTTGAGCAACTCATGGGACGTGATACCTGCAGATTGGGGCTTTGCAGAGGGTTCTGGTTGCTGGGTAGAGGAAGGAAGGGGAATATCTTTCCTCCACAGGGAGGATGCTGGGGCGGGGACGGTGCTCAGCCTGCAGCTTATCTGGCTGTCGAGTTCCATCGCTTTCGTTTGTTCGTGTTGAAGCTCACTATTTATAAACTTGCTTTTCCTGGCGAAACTCCCAGCCCTGCAGGAGAACCATGCGGATCTTCCAGCCCGCGCCGCGCTATGGGATCGCTGCCTGGGTGCCAGCCCTTGGCCGTGCTCCTGGGGATGGTGTCTGCCCAGGGATGCCCAAACCCCGGCTGCCACCACTGCTGCTGTGCCCTGTGATGCGTGTCCCCCTCCTCGTGCCCTGTCCTCTCCATCCCCTCCCAGGAACACGCTGGCTGCTTCAGTGTGGAGGCGTAGAGAGTGCTGCCAGCCCTGTGAAGGACACATGGCTGTGGTGGAGACACACGGGGAGGGGGCAGCAGGCTTGTGACGTGGGGAGGGCACCCCGTTGCTTGGGGACAGGTGCTGGTGAACACATCTGCGCCTGAAATTGAGGCTGGAAAGGGACCCATAGGTTGTGCTGGGAGCACCCTGTGGCTTCTAAGGAGAGCAGCCATTTGTGAAACAAAATAATCATCTGAAATCCCACACAGCATGCTGAGCAGTGTTCAGAAAGGATGGGACGCATCTCGATCCCTGCCATCTAGACCAGACCAAGTGCTCTGGCCTCAGGCACACCTCCAACACGAGCACCACCACCCCTGCACTGGGTTCACAGGGAAGAGAGCATTGCTCAGCCCCAGCGAGTCTCAGGGTGCAATGGGAGGAGCCCCAAGCCTGACTTGGGATACTGGCACCAGTCTGTGCTGCCTGGCCAGGACCTGTAAGTAGTGCTGCTCCCAGCTCAGGTGGTGTTGACTCTGGCTGGGGAAGGGGAAGGAGAGAGGGGGGAAACTTTCATGGAAACAGGCGACCTGTGCCTGGTTTGTGGTGGGAATGGGGGTTGCCATGGAGACAGCTTCTCCAAATAGCATCCTTCATCCCACCCCCAGTGCCCAGCTCCCTTGAGCAACCCCAGACGGCAGCGAGACAGCTCTGCTTTATTTATTTATTTCATGCTGCACCCGCTTTAAGAAGCGTGGTTGCTGTTAATGTAATCTGGGGTCAGGTGTGAGGTGCAGGATCCTCTGCTCCTGGCAGCATCTGGGGAGTGCAGATGGGCAGTGACAGAGCAGAGTGGGCAAGGGAACTGGTTCAAGTGTAGTCATGAGAATTGGGAGTGGAGGGAGAGAAGAGATGTGGGAGGGAGGGTGGGGAAAGGGCATTGGGGTTGTTGAGAAATGGAGAAGGGATTTGGGGAGGTGCACTGGGGGAAGGTGCCAGGGCTGGGGGCTGGCTGAGAGCAGGATGGTGGGAGCAGCCCTTGAGCATCAGGTCGGAGTGCCCTTCCCAGACTGGGGGACAAGACGCTGTGCTGCAGTGCACAGCCTGCCTTGGCTTCAGCCCTGACCCCTCTGCCTAAGAAACAGTAAAATCTGAAGGAGATATTTCCCTTCATGAGAGACTGAAGGCAGATGGGCTGGCACAGTGCAGGACACGGCGTGGCCAAGATGTCCCAGGGCCAGGGTTTGTGCATAGGCAGGTGACAGCTGGGGTCTGTCCAGCTGGAGTCTGAGCCCACTCCTGGCTCTGTGCTGAGCCCTGAGCATGGCAGCGGCTGCTCCTTGGTGCCCCCAGCCACTCTGGGATGGTGGTGGAGAGCTCCCACAAAGCCCATCCCTGGAGTGACCATCCCTAGCAGCTCAGGGAGCCGGTTATTAAACAATGACCTCCTGCCATTTCAAGCAGTGTTTATTCTGGCTCAGGTTTAATTAGCTCTCTGCAGAGGGCTGCATGCACTGCTTTGGCGAGCCCTGCGCAGTGGGCAGCCTGGCATTGCCTGTCCCTGGGGCTCCATGGGCAGCCAGAGAGGCACTAATTGCAGCCCCAGGTGACTGCTGGAGCCAGCAGCTCTCTTTCCCTGGTATTTTGGGTAGAAGGCTTGGGCTGGTGGAGGTGTGTGCTCTAACCAAGGCTGGTATGCAAGTGGAGCAGGGAAGGAGAGGTGCTCTGCAGTACTACAGAGCTCCTGCTCCATCTGCAGGGCACCCCAGTGTGCTCCCAAGTCCCTGTGCCAGGTGTTGCTCTTGCTGCTGGGAAGGCTGCACTCATGCCTTGTTTCTGCTGCTAGCCAGGGAATCTCATTATTCCTTTACCCACTGGCTTGAAGCGCCTGTTGGCTGAGCTCTGTTCCTCCTGTCGGCTGAGGTAGTTTAGGATGCAGTCATCTCTTTTACTCTTCTCTTTTCTCATCAAATGTACAGGGCTTGTAAAGCCTCACTGACGTATTTTCCAATCTCTTCTGGGTTCCTGTTTTTATCCCATTTTGAGCTCAGGAGCCTCTCTGAAGTGCCACCTGCAGGAGAGGACACTTGATTTCAGCCATGGCCTTGTGGGGTGCTGATGGCTCTCAGGGCACATCCTCCCTTGTTCTGTCCACAAAGGACTGGGAACCCACAGCGGGGTCTCAGTGCCCGGAGCTTACATGGCACTGTAGCATCTCCTACTTCTCCTTTTGTTTCCCTTACCCCTGTTCCTACAGCTTCTGGCTTTATTCAGCTTTGCCAAGGTCACACTTCTCCTGCTTGTTATTATAAATGATTGTCTTCAGAGCTGTGTTCCCATCCCAGCCCGTCTGCATTCTAAAGGCAGAACTGCAGAGCATCCTTTCTGCAGGACTGTGCAAGAGGAGTTGGGGTCAGAGGGCTGGCAGCTGCACAGAGCGCTCAATTATTGTGACATTTTCCTGCTTAAATTCCTTCTCCCAGCTGATTTTGTGTGTTTATTTCAGGCTCTGCAAATGAAGCCCTGTAAAATACCAGCTTGTTTTGTGCAAGCGCCGGGGGCTGCAGGCTGTTGCTGGGTTGGTTGCTGCTGGTCATACTGCAGCTGGGAACCAGTACATGTCCCATTGTCCCCTCCTGCTTGTCCTGAGGGGATGAGCAATGCCTGGGGTGGCAGAGTGACCTTGGCCCTGAGCTTTGGCAGTTTTCTTCCCAGTGCTTCCCAACACGTGTGCTGGGAGGCAGCCCCAGGGAGGCAGGGGATGGTTGGATGCTTCTGGTAAAGTGGTCCCTGTGCATCAAATCGGAATGGGAAGAAAGTCTTGGAGAGTCACAGAGGGTTCAGCATGTCCTGTACATCTTGATGGTAGAGACGAGACCAGTGCTGACACTGTGACAGGCTTGGGGCTTGGCAGGGACACAGGGCAGGGGTCTGTATTCTGGGGGAGGTGTTTTGGAGGTGTGCTTGGCCCTATGAGAGAGTAGGATGGCAGTTTTTCCTTTTGTCTTTTGTTGTTTTTTTTTTTTCTTCCTTGACCTCAGCACCACGATCTGGCCCAGAGCAGGGAGTCAGAAAAAAGCCACATCCCTATGTTCCAGGCCATGTCTCCACATCCCAGCTTTGCCCCACTAGTGGCAGCCAGCAGCAGAGCTAGGAAAGGCAAGGGAGAGCCAGGACCCCCTTCTCACACTTTGTCACTATATTCCCCTTTTGGAAAACCAGCTCATATGCTTCCATTTTATGTTTCCTCTCATTTTAGGGGAAGATGATTTCAGGATCAGGACAAGCTGCAAGGTTTTCCCACCCATCTTCACCATCTCCCCTCCAGCACTGACACTGTGACTGCATGCCGGTGCTGTGTGCCCAGCACTGCTGGATCCTAGCTGAGTGCAGGTGGCACAGCACAGTCCCAGCCCCTCTGTGCCCCCTGTCCTGCCCGAGGGTCTCGATGTCTGTGTGGGTGTATTCATCCCCTGCTGATGGCTGGTTGTTGGTGGCTGCTCTGCAGTAAGGCTCGGCGATAGCTGGCACCCCCCAGCTGCGTGTCAGATCGCATCACTTCATGCATTCACAGCAATTTCTATTTAATGTATGTTTTCAGCAACTGTCCTGTGAGTACGAGTGCCCCAAGCCTTCAGAAGGAGGCCCAAGATGCAGCATGTGTGAGGGCAGGGCAAAAGGGCTTTTTTTGGGGTCTTGTTCACCATGCTACATCCCTAAGCCTCTATATCCTCCCCTGACATCCAAGGGGCTCTGTGCTGCCATGCAAGCAGCCCCCCACACTGCACTGCCCACTCCATGGGAGCTAGGAGCCCTGCTCCTCCTGCAGCTGGAGAGCTTGGAGGGCTTGTGTGGTACTGGCACCTCCCAACCCGTGTTGGGGTCAGCACTGTGCAGCCAGGTTCTGCCTCTAACCTGATTCTGCAGAGCAGCGCGCTCCTCCTGTGCGGCTAATGGAACATATGGGGAGCTGGGGCTCTGCGTCATGTCTCCTGCCATTCACAGCAGGCTTCCCAACTTTCCCACTTCTCTGGGGGAAATTTGGCAGCCCCGGGCTGCTGCTCATCTGCTGTCACTTTGCTGAGTGTCCTGGCGGGCGGATAGCTGACCTGTGGCCGAGCGCTGAGCGCCCTTCACGTCGGAGGTTTGTTCAGGCACCTCCACCTCACTCACCCTTCCCCTGCTTTGCTTCTGCTGCATGGGGGCAGGTGTAAAACTGCAGCTCTGAGGCATCGCTGCTTTGAGCAGGAAAGAGGTTTTCTGGCCAGCTTTGCGCTCCAGTAATCGCAGAGGCTCCCTGCCTCCACGCTTTGTCTGTCTCATGTGTGAAATCACCGTTTTATCCCCACTTCTTGTTGACTCAGTGTGAACATCGGCCATGGAGCTCCCAAGATGCAGCTGCAGCCACATCTCAGCTGGGGCAGCGGCTTGTGTGGGATGTGGGCTGCCAGTGGATGAAGCTGCCATACCCTTGTCCTGTGCTCTGGCGCTGCCATCGCCTCTTCTTGAGGCTGGGGGCAGCTGGACCCTTGCTGGGGTGAGGATGGGTGCTCTCATGAGGCCTTTGTGGTCTGAAATGCCCTGTCCCAGGCTGGGAGGTGTCTGGCTGCTCCTTGCTGTGACTGTGGGACATCCTGGCAGTGTGAGGGACATGTGGGATGTACACAGTTGGTCTGCTGGGGCTGGCTGCGCAAGCTGTGGGGTTGGGGCAGCACCCAGGAGCATCTGAGCCAGCTCATCCCCAGCTCCAGCCCTGGAGAGACCGCAACCTGGAAGACAGAGCTTTGTGGCTGCTCTGTCCTGTGCTGTTGCACAACGCTCCTCAGGTGGGCATTGTTACACCCCCAGAAGGGAGCAGAGCAGAAGCTGCCATGCTTTCCTAGTTGCAGCTTTGCAAACTTCAGCTTTGCAGCCTTGTGAAGACTTAGCCATGCAAAACTGTCACACAGACGGATCCACTCAGGCACAAAGATCCGTTCCTCCATCGCCTTTGCAGTGAGGATTAATGATCATGGACAAAGGCAGGGATATTTCACGTGGCTGTCCAAGAGAGAGAGAGCACTGAAATGCTTGCTTTGGGCAAGGAGGGAGAGTAAAATACTACAGTGCTTTTCTGTCAGATCTCTTCATGGACTCAATCTGTACGTGTGCTTTCCCCAGAATGTATTTATAGAGCATCCCGGAGGATGCAGTCAACTCCTCATCAGGCATTTGAGGTGGCTTCAGCTCTCTCGGGCAGTGACACCGTCCCAGGCCTTTGGGCCTTCCCTCCTCGCCAGCTTGTCAATTAATCCTTGGGTCTGTCTCTCCACAATTATTTTAGCAGAGGCCTAATGAGTTTCTCCTGGGCTGCTCTTCCCCATACCCCTCTGAGCCTTTGCCAGCTGTGCCGGCCTCGTGAAACAGCAAAACGAGCCTGAACAAATGGGAAACTGCAGCTTAGAAATCCTCCTCCTTCCCAGCCAACGCCGGCTGCCCCACTTTCCATCGCTGTGAAGCTCCTGCTTTGAAACCCGCAGAGCAGCGAGATAATAGACTTGAAAGTAATGGCATTTTTATGTCCAGAAAAAGTACAGTTGTGCTGTGACTAACTTAAAATTTTTCAGTCCTGGTTAGATATAAAATGTTGGGGGAGAGAAGACATCGCATCGTGCTTTCCTGTTGGGTCAAGATGCGGGTCTGGTGGCTGCTGGGATGGCCAGGGGTGTCTGCACGGGGCCAAATCCAGTCCTGCTGTCACGACTGCTGCAGGCTTTGGGGCACACCGGGCAGCCCCGGTACCAAGACTCCTTTGGTTCTGTTGCTGTCCAAGCACATGGCAGCTCATTGCAGCCTCTGCTCCAGCCGGACCAGGGCAGCTTAGAACACAACAGAGACGGGCAGCTGGCACCTCTTCTCTTTGCCCTGCTGCATGGAGCAAGATGTTCTGTCCTGCTGCCATACCACAGTGGGCTGAAGAGATGGCTGCACCATGGGCTTCAGCTCAAAGGTGAGCCATATTCAATTGCCCTGAGCTGGCTTCTCTCATCACCTCTTCTGCCACGTTTGGCTTGATCAGAGGAGCCTGTTAGCCCCAGTGGGCAAGCCATCATAGTGACGAGCCAGAAACAGACAAACAGTTCTGGAGTTACATGGAGCAGACTGTAGGTACAGCTTTTGGGATAGGAAAAACATGGCCAGTTTCTCCATATCTCATCTCCTAAAAGTCAGCAGTGAGAAGGGTAGTGAAGACTGTCATTTTCTGGTACATGTTATGATTGCTGCCAGGTGCTTGCTGTGGGGCTGCTATGGGCCCACTCCCATGGTGGGCACCAATGTTTTTTCCCTGGCCAGGCACTCTTGGCTAGGATTTATGTCTGCCAGGAGCTGATGACAGCTCCTTCACATGCTGAAAGGTGGATATCCATCATCTGCTGAGGCCAGCTGCTCTGCTGTTCATGCCGTGTGGACTCACAGTTTGGGGTGAGATCTGATAACCAGACTGTGAGTTGGCAAAAGCTCATCAAGAGGTTGGTGTGGGAGACAGGTTTGCTCTGGTATCTCTGTGCTGACCGGCTCAGGAGATGGACCCATGTTGCTGCAGGACCTGCCCACTGTGTTCCCTTGCCTGTGGGAGTGCTGGGGAAGTGCAGGAGGGGAGCAGGCTCTTGGAAGGGCAAAATCTGGCTGGGCTCTGTGCTGTTTCCTAATCTCTCTGTTTTCATCTGATTGATCTGTACAGTCAAAGCTGTGATCCTGGACTGGCAGAAGAGAAGTTTCCAGACTGCAGGGGCCACCAAAGCAACTGCCGCCCTCCTTTCCTGCTGCCTGCGGCTGCTGGAAAGCTGGGCTTTGGGGTTGCAGGGTGTGTGAGCCTCTTCCCTCCTGCCTGCCCGCCCACATGCCCTGGTACCACGGCGCTTGGCAGTGCTCACCCCTCCCAGATCATACTACAGCCCTAGTGAGACGTGGCTGCCGGGGAGGAGGAGGAAGAGCAGGAGTGTGATGGGAGGGCTGTCAGCACGCCCAGCTGCCAAAATAGTGCTGTATCTATGATTATTTATTTCATTATTATACCTGGGCATGGAAGAGGCAAGAGGCTGGGATCACTGTCACAGCCCAGGTCTCAGTTTTCCTCCCTGGGCTCCACACCCACCTTGGGCTGTGCAAAGCCAGCCTGACTCACTGGCATGACTATCACTGCCCAGTGCTGCTTGTTGGCTGCCCTTGGCTCCTCTCCACCCTACCTCTGCCTGAGTTTCCAGCACCTGGCTCTGTCTCTGTGCCTTTTCCTGTCAGCCAGTAGCACTGCCTGCCTCAAGGATGCCCTGGGGCAAGTTGTGAATGTGGCCAGCGACTCTGGGGTTCTGCTAGCTGATCTCTTCTGCTCATTGCACTGGAACTTGCTGGGATCACCAACTCTCTCCTGTTGGCCTCCAGATCGTCAGCTTTTTGGGAAGAGATATAAGCTCTTGGACAGGGCTCCTGGAGCCCTGCAGGGAAACGTCTCTCTTGTTTGCTTATGCAGGCTGATAAAAATCCAGAAAGGAGCTTGTCCTGGAGTTTTGGCTTGCTTTAAAACACCAGTTCTAAAACAGGAGACATCTGTCACCGGGGCGAGCATCCTGCCACCTCGAGCTGTGGGTGATCCCTGTCAGCTGTGCCCAGCTCAAGCACAGAGCAGGAGGTTGGGCAGCCTTCCTCTGCCTCTGGCTGCATCTGCCAGGCAGCAGGAAGAGCCTCCTGCCTCAGGGATGCACCTCACACCGATGGGTCTGAGAGAGATGTGCTGGGGACAGGCTGGTGGACAATCAGGATCATCTTACCTTCTGCTCTGCAAGCCAGGCTAGAAACTGGCTGATCTTCCTCTGTGGTAGCATTTCTTGTCTTCTAAATTAGGCTGATGTGAATTTCTTGTCAGTGGGGAGGGAAAGACTTGTTTCGTTCACCAAGAGCCTGTTTGGGAATTGGACACTCTGTGCTGGTGGCTGGGTCTGCACAAGTTCAGCAAGGTGAAGTCCTCAAACAGTCTCCTTCTCAGTGTTCTCATCTGTGAAGGAGTGGTGTGAGGCTGACTGACTTCAGCTCATCATGAAATGTCTTCTGTCAGAGCCAGGAGTGTTGCAAAAAGATGAGGTTGTTCCGAGGAAGGACAGGAGGGTCTTTATCCCATTGTGCCATTTTCTCTCCAGAGTTGTGAATGTGGTACACGTCCTGAATGTGTCCTGGTGACACCAAGGTGTGGAAGAGCAGCTGGGGATGCACACCCTCCAGAAAACCTGTGGAGCTCTGAGATTCAGAGAAGACAGCCCAGATCTGAGCTCTGGTGACTGAAATCTCCTGTGTCCGTGGGCAGCAGCAAGGCACGGTTGGGAGCTCGTGCTCCCAAAACATCACTGGGGCTCTAGTTTTAAACTGAAAGAGTTTCATCAGAGATGTGAGAGGACTGAAAATGGCACCATTATTTGTGATGTGGAAGGGCAAACACTCAAATGTCAAATCTGAAATCCATGTGGGTTGGTACCAGTATCCACCTTGGCTCTCCAGGCTCTCAGCTGTGAGAGGTCTTTCCCCACAAGAAACTAGGATCTGCTGGGCATCCCATGGCTGATGTATTGCTGTGCTGTAGGTTTGTCTCAGCCTAGTCAAGAATGCACGGTTCAGAGTGGCTCCTTTTCACCACATAATGCCCCATGTAAGGTAGGAGACTCCAGCAATGAATCCCTTCCCAGCCAGGTGCTTTAAGGCTCTGCCTTGACGCAAGGCAGAGAAATTGCCACAGCTGCTGCTCCTGGCAGCCTTGCCAAGGCAACAGAGCAAAGCAATTTAGCACTGCTCCAGTCATCCGTGATGGCAGAGATCATCGCGTCGACCTCTTCTTCGGCTTTGTGATTAATGCTGAAAAAGCAGCCTCTGAGGGCTGAAAGGCGAGCGCTGGTCCCTGGAGAGCCGTGCTGCAGCGTGGAGGCAGCACCTCCAGCTGTGGTCCTGGCCTCCTGTGGGCTCCTCTGCACCTTGGGGCTGTGTGCTCTGCAGCAATGAAGGTAATGGGAATGGGAGCAGGAATCCAAAGCTTGTTTGTCGAGTGAGAAGAAGTTATGTGGCTTTATGCAGATTCCTTGTCATATAATGAAAACCTGGTGTTTGAGCTTTCCAGTGGTTACACCCAAAGTCCCCTTCGGAAAGCTGCTATGTGGAAGTGATGGGGAGAAAGACAGGTAGGAAGGGTTGTGGTCCGGACAGCTGAGCTGGAGTGAGAGGAATGTGAATCACAAAGCAGAGCACCAGCAAGCTGTGGAGAAATGGCTCCCATCGCTGGGACAAGGCAGAATGGGTTGGCAGTGAGTGTTAGGGAGCTGGGGAAGAAAACTTATTTCAAATGCAACGCTTGCTTTGTTTCTGAAACTCTCTGCTCCAGGACTAGTTGCTACCAATACCCACGATGCTGGGAGGACCCCATTGCTGTGAATTATGTGCTCTGTCTGCTGTTCCTTCTGTTGGTGAAGGTCCTATGGTGGGGAGCATGAGATATGTCCCTGACAGCACAGGGATGCACACACCAGCTCTCTCTTGGTCTCTTCTCTGCAGGTGGAGTTACTGCTGACCGCGCTGCAGGGTTTTTCCTGCAGGTGCTGTGTGAGCAGGGGAGAAGAGGTCCTGAGCATGTCTGTGTGGCAAGGCTGGAGGAGGGCAGAATTGAAATTTCCATGTCCATCCTGCAGAAGAGCATCCATGGCTCCATGCTGCTCCCAGCAGCTCCCAGCCTCCCTGGGAAGCTGTTTCCTGCATCTCAAGGTTCACAGCCCGCTGGGGATCGGTCCCACGGCTCAGCCACACCAACACCAGCCTCTTCCCAGCTCCTCAGCCCCCAGAGGCGCCAGGAGGGCGAGGTGTAAATTGCATGACAGGCTGCCTCTGCAGAGGTGAAAATGAAAAACTCTCCCTTTGCTCAAGCTGGGCGTTTCGCAGCTCCCACAGCCCACGTTTTTCTTGGTCACAGTATCATCTTCTGTTTGTGCAATGCCTTGCAGCTCAAAGAGCTTTGAAGGGAAGAAGCAAGCAGAGCTGTCTCAGTATTGTGGGCAGGTGGCTGTGTCCCATTGAGGAGCTATGTCCCAGAACTGTGTAGCTGAGGCTGGTGGAGACTTCTGGGGTCACCTGGTGTCACCTCTGCTCCACGGGGCCACCCAGAGCAGCTGGCCCTGCCCCCTGTCCACATCTCCACGTTATGCCCACCATCTCTCAGCCTGTCTGTGGGTACCACTGGTGGAGCCTTGTCCTCTCTGCGCCTCCTCGCAGGTCTATGTGGACACTGACAGAGCCCAGTCTTGTCCCACTGAGGAGTGCTGCCCTGCAGTGCCAGGAGCAGTGCAGGCCTGGTGGCAGAGTGCTCCTGGTGTGAGCTAAGGCGGGATGACACACTGAGCGTGGGGCGTGCAAGGAGAGGAGGAGGATGTGGCACACAGCACCGTCCCTGCAGGGCTGGCTGGTGGCTCACTTTCAGCTTGCTGAGCTCCAGCTCTAATTTTAGTGCCTGATTTTCAGTTCCACGCAATTGGGGCTCTTTGTGTCTGGGTTTGTATTGTACGTACCCCCAAGGTGGGACAGTGGGTTGGCTCTGTGTGAAGCAGAAGATTGGTGTATCTGGAACGGACGTACGTGTCAACATCAAACCCATGGACTCTGGAAGCATTGGTCTGTGCAGTATGTGTGGCTTGTATGGATCATATGCAGTAATCACAGATTACTTGGGTTGGAAGGGACCTCACAGCCCCCACCCCTGCCGTGGGCTGCCTGCCCCCCAGCTCAGGCTGCCCAGGGCCCCTCCATGGCCTGGGGGACCTCCAGGGATGGGAGGAGCTATGAGCAGCTATGTCAGCACCTCACCATCCTCTGAGCAAAGAACGTCTTCCTAAATCTGATGCATTCCTCCCCCAAAGGTGATACGTCAGATCCCCAAGAAGGGCAGAAAGGAGCTGTGAGTAGTGCAGGAAGGGTGAGCTCGCCGTCGGTGCCACACGACCTTGGGAAGAGGCGAGTCCCCGCTCTGCCCCACTTACTGTGCTCCTGCTGCCCTGCCAGAAGCCTGCCTGCTGCCTCCCGCTGGTGGCACCTTGCTGAGCTCCTCCACCCATGTGAGCCTGCATTTCATCTGCCTTGAGGGCTCTGTGTCCACCTTGCTGCTCCATCTGTTGGCCTCACACCAGCCGGGGGGCTTCCTTCTCAGCCGCAAAGCCCTCTATTGCCTGTTGAGCTCCTCTGTTGTTTTGCCACGTTGTTGAGTTTTCACCAGTTCACTTCCCACTCGTGCCTTTGCCTTTGGACTCAGGGTGCTCCCTGGTTTTTTTGGGACCCTTGTTTTCAGGATGGCCACACAGCCTGGTTGGCTGGTTGTTCTGGGCTGCAGCAGCAGCAGCAGGGGCTGGCACCACTGTTCTGGATTGCAACTTGATTTGCAAAAGCATAAATTAGGCAGCTGGGAAAGGAGTAAGCTCATCCTGCCTGTTTATAGTGGTGAGGGCAGAGTGCTGCCAGTGTCCCCTGCCCCAGACCCCTGGAACTCAGCCCTTGGAGCTGGCTGGGCATCCCAGTGTCCATCCCACGTGCCAGCTTTGCCATTCCTCCGAGGCACAGCACCGGTGTTCCCAGTGTCTGTTTGACTGCCACCCAGCATGGGCAGAGATTTCCCTCCAGCTGGTTTAGGAGAAATTGGGTGAATTGGGAAGAAATCAAGTATTGGGCATCCTTGGTGTCCTGAGGCCTGCCCTCAGCCCTGAGGCTTTAGGCTGCTCGGAAAATGGACTCAGTAGGGTTCTCTTTGCTCTGAGATCCTTTGTGTCGTCCCCGTCTGTGTTAAGTGGTGGGGGGGCAGCTGGATGCATCCAAGAAACCTGTGAATCTTGGAAATATCCGTCTCGGGTATGTGTTGGAGTTACTGGAAATAGCAAAACGAGCTGAAGTTGGGCTTGTGGTTGGTGGAGCAAGGGGCAGAGTGGTGGGGAGGATGCTTGCCTGGCTTGTTGCTTAAAAAGCAAGAGTGAGATGAGCCGCCCCTGCTCTGTTGCTAAAAACAGCCCAGCTTGCTTTTATTTAACACAGTGCTGATCTGCGTGTGTTTGCATTTCACCTGCCTGCAAGTGGGAGCTCCGGGCTGTGAGCACTGGGATGCCGGCCTGTGCTGCTGGTGCTGGAGCTCCTGAAATAAGAAAAGGTCCTCAGGGACCTGAGAAGGGGAAAAATAGAAAAAGAGCAAGCACGGCAGGGGGTTTGGGTTACTCACCCAGCAGGAAGCAGCCTGTGCTGTGCAGGGGCAGGCGTGGGGAGGAATGAGGGAAGAGGCGGAGGGGAGGCTGTCTGAAATGCCATGGCTTCATCTCCAACCCCCTGCCCTTGTGCTTCTGAAAGGAGCTGCTGGAGCTGTTGCTTCTGGATTATATTAATTAGCAGAGAAGCACTACGCCTGCCGTGGGTCCTTGCTGAGAGGCAGGTGTGGGGACGTGGCGGGCAGCTGCAGGTGCCCCAAAAATCCCCAAAACGGCCCCCCTCTGGGGACTGCACCCCACTATGGTGGGGGGCTGCCAATAGGAGCACCTCAGGGGGGACGGTGGGCACTGGGACTCCTGCCCAAGGTGCCAGATGGGTCCTAATCAGTTGGGGTGAGGTGGAGTGCGCAGAGGCTGACAGTCTGATGCTCTCTTCCAGGAGAGGAAGCTGTGTGCCCACCCCAGGATTGAGATCTACAAAGAGGACCGCATCTATTTTGTGTGCCCCCTCGCCCGCCAAGGGGACTTCTATGTTCCTGAGATGAAGGAGCTGGAGAGGAAGAGCAGGGCAGCAGCCGAGGTCGAAGACAGCCAGACTGATATCACAGGTAGCACATCTGGCACTTGGGCTCCTCTGTTCTTCCGTGTGTCACCAGCCCTCCCCAGGTGGCGTCCCGGTGTCCCGGCTGTTGTGAGCAGGAGGGCCTGCGCTGTGTTTGGATTCCTGCCCAGGGCTCAGTTCACCTCATGCCATCACTGTGAGCAGTGTGGCACAGCTTGACCCCGTGCCATGCCCTGGGCAGCACACGGTCCTGTTGATGTCAGAGGATAAAGCCACTCTTGGTGCAACTGCAGCACCGCCGGCCCGTGGCTGTGAAAGCAGAGCTGGGTGCCGACACGTTTGCTTGCAGCTGGGCTTGTTTTTCTCCTTGTCACATACATCTTTCTTGATCTCATCTTCATCTGTTACATGTTGGGATTGTGAAGAACTTAAATACCAGGTTTCTGTAGCTGGTGGTGGAGTTGCCCGAGAGCATCTGCTCGCAGAGATCTGTTGGAGCCTGGGTGTATTTATACAGGAAGGGACCACAATCGCTGTAGGCGCGGAACAGCAGTGCTATAGTAACCCAAAGTGCTGGCTGCCGTGCTGGCCCACGTGCTCACATGGCTGTAGGACGCAGCGTGATGGAGGCTGTGGGCTGTGGGCTGCAGGCAGGGCTCCGGCCATGGCCCCACCAGGCACCCACGTGTGCCTAACGGGCATGAAAGAAACATGAGCGCGTGCAGCGGCTGGAGCACGCCTCGCCGCCTCGCCCCTGGTCTGGTAATCTTTTTACACATCTTTGGTTTTGGATCGCTTTAATTCTTAATTGCGTTGGTCGTAAAAGCAAGCCTGGGAATTGCTTTCTGAGAGCCCTGTCCATTTAGCATTGGAATGAAGAGCCTAATTGGAGTGGCTTCCCAGTGCTTTGCAGTCGCGGCGTTTTCAGGGCGCTTTGTCTGCGCTCTGTCTCTGCCACGGCCCCAAATGTGTCCCCAGCACCTGCCTGTGCCAGTGCCAGCCCGGTAGCATGGCGGGGTCACACTGCACGTGTGATGATACATGCCATGACACAGCACGGACAGGCTTCGGGATGTTGGCCTGGAGGGACTCTGCTCACGTATAGGAGACACTGGGGAAATCCCAAGGGTTTGGGGCTCATCCTGCAAGGTGCTGGGTGCCTCTGGCTTTGAGTGAGGCAGCTGCTGGCTGTGCTGCTGAGCCTGAGCTGGAGCTTTCCACCCCTGCACACATGGAGCTGATGCTGGCTGCTGCTCTGAGCACGGCTCAGCACGTGTGCAGTGAGCAGGGTGGTGCAGCTGCCCCTGCCCCAGCTCTGTCCCTCCTGGGCCATCACTGAGGTCTTTGCAAAAGCAACGACTGATGGCTCTCCAGGGTCCGGTGTCAATCATGATTAGTAATTTTCTACTTAATTGTTTTCGAAGGGTTTGGTGCCAGGGTTGTGCTCTTCAGTATGACCCCACCACAGTGCATGGAGGAGAAAGCAAACAGGAGCGGCCTTCTCGACATGGACACTGATGGTTTCGGTGCACATGGCCCTCCCCAGAGACTCGGGGCTGCTTCCCAAAGGGCTGAGCCAGCTCTGGAGGCTCCCTCCAGCTGTGGAAGGGGAAGCTGGAGGAGGGAAGCGCCAGCTGTGAGATGTGGATGCTCCTGGAAGTGAGGGCTGCCAGCAGCAGTAGTGCCCATGGGAGGAGAGCCAGGGCTGTGCTCACCCCAGGGCTCTACCCAAGGAAGCTCCCCAGCCCCAGGAGCAATGGCTCCTTCCCTCACCCCGCACACTGAAGCCAGCCCTGTCCTGCACAGAGGAGGACACGGCTGCCGCATCGGGCAGATGTACCAGCTGGGGCTGCTCAAACATGATCCGAAGTGACAGAGCAGGGAAAAAGCGCCTGGCTGAAGGGATGCGTGGCTATTTATTGTCGCCCTCGGAGCGGGGCAGGGACAAGGCAGCTGGGGGCGAGGACAGCCGTCTTCTCAGAGCAGAGTGCCAGCAGTCGTAGGTTGCCTTCACCCATCTTCAGCATCCCAAGCCGGTGCTTGTCTTCTCTTGTATGTTGCAGTGCGTGGGTACACGACAGCTTGGAGCCAGAACAGCCCCCTTGGCGCAGAGCAGATGCTGTGCAGGCAGGGGAGGGCCTGGCAGGATCGGTGCCCTCAGCTCTCCGAGGAACCTGTGGTGGGTGCAACTGATGCAGCTTCAGCCCTGACACCACGCTCTGTGCCTTGCTGTGGACTGAGTCTGAGCTGCCTTAGAGCACTGGCACCACACTGGGTTTTTGAGCAAATTTGACTTTTTTTGAGGTAGAGATCTGGAGAAGCCTTGCCTGGGACCAGGAACTCTCAGGCTTCACACAGGGAGAGAGAGGAGTCATTGCTGTGCTATGTCCTGGAGGATGGGTGCCCAGCCACAGTCTCAGTGAAGATGCATCGGGCTGCACATCCCAACCATTCTCTTCACATCCCATCCCCAACCCCGAAAGCCCACAGTGGTCCTCACATGCTCTCCCCTTGGCTGACCCCAGTGTGCCCCAGCTGTGGTGACGTCCCCTTCTGCTCAGCCCTGCCCAGTGTGGAGTGGGACCTACTGCTACTGAGCCTGCCTTTGCCATGGATGGGACTCATCCCACTGGCTCCAGGGCCCCGCTGCCTTCCAGCCCCTTCCTGGAGGCTCTCCTCTGACTTGTCTGGCCAGGGGCATCCCTGTGAGCACCTCCCCAGGAGCCTGCTGAACACCTCTTGAAACTTAGAGGAAATGCATTCTCCACGTTGAGGTGCTCCCTATGTGTCTGCACAGGCTGTGCTCCTTCTGCCTTCCAGGTGGTGTCACCATGCTGGGCTGGGGCACAAACAACAGGGATGCTGCAGGGTGGCTGGGCAGCACCCACACCGTCCTCACTGCTCCCCACTCTGGTCCAGGTACCCCGGCCATTTAGGGAGGCTGGAGATGTGTCTTGCATTTATTCCATGAGCAGGACCAGGCAGCCAAGGTGCTGAGCACCCAGATCCCCTACACCTTTGGTTGGGCTATTCCTGCTCTCTTCCCAAGTGGAGAGGTGAGAGGATGAAGATGGAGAGGGGAGGAAGGAGGTGGCGAAGGCAGCACCAGCCAGCAGGGGGATGGAAGGTTGGCCGACGTTTGCTGCTGTTGTCATAATTAACAATGTGAATCTGTGATGTCATAATTAAAAATGATTAATGTTTTATAGGAGGGCTTTGTCTCCCAGCTGGTTGCTCCGGCAACAGCACTCAGCTGCCGGTCTCAATTTGACACTCTTGTCTCATTGTCGACTCCCTAATTGCGTTGTCGACCGAGCTAATGAGATTGTGACACAGGGAGGGGTGGTGGGCTTGGCCTGGGGGGCTCCCAGTCCCTGGGCACCCTCCTCCTGCTCATAGACACCCTGTGCTATTCCATGCCAGCACCTTTGCCAATGACCGCAGGCAAATCAGGGATCACCTTCATTCCTCCATCCCCAAGGGCAGTTTGGCTCACCACAGGGAGTCAGAGGACATGGAGTTGGGGCAAGAAAGAAGGGCACACACTGCAGCACCCATGGCAGGAAGCAGGGAGGGATGTGGTCACCTCCACCCAGCCCTGTCCCCCTGCACAACGCTGTCCGCCTCTGGGAAGCCAGGGGGTCAGCCCTGGCACGTGGCACAAGCGAGGCCACCAGCATCCCATTGCTTGCCTGGTCAGGTCACGAGGGTTACAGGTGGTCCCAAATGGTGCTTTGCTGCACTCTCCAGGCTTTGGTGGCTTCAGAGACACGCTGACGTGGCACCCAGCCTCCTCTTGCAGCACTCACACCCTGCCCTTCTCTCTCCATCCCAGGGGCTGACACCATGAGCGAGGCCAGCTCCATCAGCATCGAGGCCACGACCGACAGCAGGGACACCTCGGTGGCCACCTCTGTCCTGCTGCCCTTCCCCACCAGTCGTGGCCGGGAGGAGGCTGACAACCGCAGCGAGCACAGCTACAGCGAGTCTGGAGCCAGCGGCTCCTCCTTCGAGGAGCTGGACCTGGAAGCTGCTGCGGATGGGGAGGGCAGCGCGGGGCTGCTGCTCACCTCGGGCTATGGGGAATCCCAGGAGCTCACAGACAAGTGGACCAAGGAGCCCATCGCTGCTGAGCGAGGAGAAGAGTAGAGCCGGACCTGGGCCCCGGCTTCGTGCGCCTCTCCTGTCTCCTTCTTTGGCACCACGACATTCCAGGCACTGATCCCTCCTGGGGCTGCTGCCCTTGCAGGAAGGGGAATGCAGACGGGGCTGCTGGGTGCAGGCTGTGACATACCTGCACCCCCTGGGTGCATTTCCAGGGGGAAGTGTGGGTCTCCCCTTCTCTGCTGGTGCCCCTTTCACCCACAGCATCTCTCTGCCAACACGGACGTGTGTTCTCTAGCACCAAAGAGCCATGAGTAGGGTTGGTTTGTTTTGTTCCCCTCTTCTCTTTCCCTTTGCTGCAAATGAAAACATCCAGTGTCAAGCTGTCCTGGACCTGCCACAGGTGTTTCCAGGGTCTGTAATAAAGTGGATGCTTTTCCTCCATGCTGCCTGCTGCCTTTCCTGACCGCCAGCCTGCTGTCCTTGCTGAGCAGGGGACTGCCCCTAGCTATCCTACACCTTAGCAGCCCTACTCATCACCCACAGTCCCCACCACAGCAGCTGTGGGGACCGTCCCCTGCCGCTGCCAGCTTCACCCCAAGCATTCACTGTGGGGAGGAAGGACTGGGGCACTGCCTCTCCTCCTGACCCCACTGCCACCTCACCCAGTAATGTTCAGTGCTGGAGCACGAGGGACAGCCAGACCCCCTGCCCCGGTTTCTCTGGTGCCCCTGGCAGCCCAAGGCTTGTTCCCAGTGTGCAGCCCAGCAGCGGGGCCAGCAGCAAGGGGCAGGGGGTCTGGCTGTCCCTCGTGGGGAGATTTACCTTCTCTGACTTGGAAAGGTCTCGGTTAGTCTTCATCCAGTGATTGACAGGAGATTATTTATAAATATTTTGTGCTCTAAGTGATAAAATATTAAACTCCTCCAGCCCACATGGTAAAATATTGCTCTTCCCGGTGTTTATCTTTATTGCTGGTTATTACAAAACAGCCAAGCCCCCTGAAACATTCATGCCCAGCTGAGTCTGTGAGTACTGGAGGCAGACAGCAGCTCCTAACCCCGCTTGTCCCCTAACCCCATGGAAAATGGAAGGTGGGGGATCTTTGCTGTTGTTCTTCTGCTGCCAGAAATGCTGGAGCAGCAGCAGCCAGGATGCTTCCTGGTGGGATGTAGTTGCTACTGGGTGCCTTGTGCCAGGCTGGGAAGTGGGGTTTTGGCTGTGCTGGTCCCACTCTGCTCTCCCCCCAGCAAAGGCATCTGTTGCTGCCAGAGCCCCGCTCCATCATCCAGTGCTGGTGCTCCAACCTGGTGCTGCATGAGAGCCGAGGTTGGGGCTTTGTTGTGGATGTCCTGGGTTGTATCCCCACATCTGGCTTGTGCCCCAAAACCCGTGTTATGCCCACAGGACTGCTGGGAGTTGGGGCCAGTCAAGCTGCCGGCACAACATTAGAGGGGGTTGGAGGGGGGGGCGGGAGTGCATGCAGCAAAGTGGGATGCTGGGCAGCCGAAGGGCTAGCAGAAAAATTTGGGCAAACGGTGGAGTCCATCGAGGTCTCGAAACCGTAACTGCAGTCCGAGCTGCTCTCCTGGAAGCTCTGCACTGCGAATTGGAGGGGGGCATTCGGGGACCATCACCCAGGGTTTGGCGCTTGGGTGCCGGGCGTGGGCAGCGGGGCTGCAGTCGGGGCTGGGACCCCCGTGCTCGGCGGGGGCGGCTGGGGGCGCGGGGCCGAGCCGCTCTCCGGAAGGTCGCTCAGTGCGTCCGCGGTGCCGCCCGCCCTGCCCGTGTCCCGACCGCTGCCCCGCGGGGTGCCGCTGCCCGGGGCCGGGCCGGGGCGGGGGCCGGGGGCGGAGCGGCTCCGCCGGGCTGGAGCTGGCGGAGTGTCAGAGGCGGCGGCGGGAGGCGGGCGGCAGCAGCAGCTCCGAAGAAGCAGCGGCATCGGCACCGGCTCCCGGCGCAGCCCCGCCGGGCCCAGGTAAGGGCTGCGGATCCCGCGTCTCCGCCGTACTCGTTCCCGTGGTCTCGGGCCGCCCGAGCGGCTGTGCCCGGAGAACGGAGCTCGGCCGCTCCGGGAGCCGTCGGGTCCGCGGCACCGCTGTCAGTGCCGGGAGTCGCGGGCCGGAGGGAGAACAGCGGAGGCGGGGGGCCGGCACCGTGCCGGGGGCCGCGGGTTCACCGGGAGCTTCGCCGCGAGCCCCAGGGAAGACGCCGAGGCCACCGGCCCGTCCGGCTGCTGCTCCGGGTGCGCGGCGCCGGGGCGCGGAGGTGACAGCGCGGCAGATGCGGGGACAGCCCCCGCCTGCCCTTCGCTCGCTGCTCCGGGGACTGCCGGTTCCTGGAGTGCTTCGGGCCGGCTGGGTGCACGGCTGACCCCGCATCCTCCCCGAGCGCACGGGTGATGCGGCGGGGCAGGGGCACCCTGACGTTCTGCCGGCCGCTCTTCTTTGCGTCCTCCCCTTCTGCTCCCGCCGGCTGGACGAGTGGCTGCAATGTACGGATCGACCTAAAGAGAGGAGGTTTTGGAGGCGCTTCCAGGTGTCACCCTGCTCCCGGCGTTGTGCACACGTGTGTGTGGCCACACGGCATGCGTGCGCTGCAACGTGCCGCTTTGTACACACGTGTGGACCTGTGCAGGGCATGGCCCGTTACCCGCATGCTGCAGGCATGAGCACACACGGTACCCCTGCATGGGTGTGCCTGCAGAGTGCATGGTGTTGGTGTGCAAGCCCCCGCGCAGTGCTTGCCCATGCACCTTGCACGGGTGCGCACCTGCATGCACGGTGCTGAGCCCAGGGCAGGGTCCTGGCTGCAAAGCTTTGTGATCACAGCTGGCTGTGCGTCCCCTCCTGAAAGCAGGGCAGCAACCAGGGTCCTCCCTGCGTTTCTGCAGGTGTCAGGGTGCTCTGGGGAGTACGGGACCAACTGTGTGATGTAAACATCCCTGATTGCTGATGCTTTCAGGTAGAGGGAGGCTGCAAGCATATGGGAGCTGGCAGAGCCTTCCCAATGCACCGTGGCCACTGGGACAGCTGTGGCTCTGCCCAGTCGGGTGCTTTGCACCCCAGATATTCTCCAGTTATTCCCAGGGCCAGTTTCCCCCGAGCACCGTGTCAGCCCAGTGAGTGGCTCCAGGGATGGCTGCAGCCATCTTTGCCTCCCTAATGGAGCTGATGATTTTGGGAGCGCCCTTTGGGAGAGCTGAAGATGCCCTTCCTCTGATGGGTCCCACCTGGAGCCCCCCGTGAGCTGTGGCCACCTGGGGCTGGGGCTGTCAGGCTGAGAGGGTCCCCTCCTTTCACAGCCCCTAAAGCCCTGGCCCTGTGGGATTCCAGTAGCTGACTTTAAATGGGAAACAAATCCCTCTCATGGTGTGGGAAAAGACAACTCATTTCTGAGGGGACCTCATTTACTGCCAAAAAAAGGCCTGTCTGTTGCAAAAGCCTTTGATTCCCCAGCTCCTCCGTGGTTTGTGCAGAGGAAGCCAGCAAACCTGGCTCTTACTTCTACTGAAATCTCTGAATTTAGTGTACGAGGAAGGAAGGGGCGGTGGTGAGAGAACAGCCTCTAGAGCACTGCGGGATGGAGCTGGCACCAGTGGGGAAGGGGCTCGGGGGCTGGACAGGGTGGGAGCATGGCTGTGCCCCTTGCATTGGGATGGAGCAGCTGGCTCTGGCTGAGCAGGTGGCACTGGGGTCAGGGGGCTCTGATCTGGTATTGAGTCTGCCTCAGTCCCTGCTCTGGGTGATGTCCCAGCCCCTGGGTGACATCCCTGGCTCTTTTCCCAATGCTTTACCAACCAGAAAAGCTATCCCCCACTAGGCTGCATTGCCTGGAACTGCTGCAGCACTGACTGCCTGCCTCTCCACACGTGCCAGCTCATCCCAGGGAGCTGGGCAGCCAGGGTGGCCCTGCATGTCTGTCCACATCTGTGTCACTTGCTACATCCTGCAGATCCTGGTTTGCTGCTGGAGCTGTCACATCTGCTCAGCTCTCGCTAAGGGTATCCTTCCTGGGGGGGACACGGGCTGGTGGGGCACAAAACACCTACATGCTGCCCTGGCTCAGCCACCTTGAGCATCTCCTCACAGCTCCCAGATGGACAGCCCCAGCTCATCCCATGACCTGCCGACCCAGTGCCTCTTCCCTTTGCTTTTCCAGGTGCTGAAGGCTCCAATAGGGCGGCAGACCCCCTGCCACCACCACGCTGCTCCGTCCTCGATGCCGGGGCCCTGGCTGCCCTCACCTTAACGGGCAGTGCTGGGTGACATGGGGCGTGCGGATCCCCAGCCAGCACCAGCACACCCCATGGCGGTCCCCATTGCCGCCTGGCTCTGGCTGATGCACCTGGCCTCCTGCCTGGCTGCTGGGCACGGCTCCACCCACAGCAAGAAGGAGATCAGCACTGAAGGGGACCTGGTCATCGGGGGGCTCTTCCCCATCCATGAGAAAGGAGTGGGGAGCGAAGACTGTGGCAAAATCAATGAACACCGGGGCATCCAACGCCTCGAGGCCATGCTCTTTGCATTGGATGAGATCAACAAGGACCCAAGCATCCTGCCGGGGGTGAGACTGGGTGCCCACATCCTGGACACCTGCTCCAAGGACACCTATGCTCTCGAGCAGTCGCTCGACTTCGTCCGCGCATCCCTGACCAGAGTGGACGGCTCCGAGCACATCTGCCCCGATGGCTCCTATGCTGTCCATGATGACGTGCCCACAGCCATCACTGGTGTCATCGGGGGTTCCTACAGCGATGTTTCCATCCAGGTACCCCTTGCAAGATAAGAGCCTGGGCTGTGGGCAGAAGTGGCAGAGGGCATTTACTGGCTGTAGGGCTGCCAAACCTCAGCCCTCACCGGGGGGGAACTTCCTGGAGGTGGGGAGCACGGAGCCCATCCTCTTCCTCGGCCCTACTTCTTTGCTGGGCTGTGTGTCAGGGAGCTCAGCATCTGCTAAGGAAAGTAATCAGTCGAGGCTGCTTGGGGCTAGGTGGGTGCATGCCAGCCCTATGCCGTGGGATACCGTCCCACCCCCAGCATCAGCGGGGGGGCATTAGCCCCTCGGATGGAGCCATTTGTTTGCTGCTGTGGCCCCACTTGCCACAAACAGAGGGGTCAGCACCCATGCAAGGTGGCCATCCCTCCGTGGGGATGGTGCTTTATTCACTCTGGGTTCCACAGTCACCCGGAATACCCAGGACAATGTCAATGTGCAGATCCACATCCTTGGTGCAGTTTCCAGCCCGGCGCTGCACGTACTCCCGCCAGCAGGTCTGGATGGTGCGGGCGGCCTCCTGGCAGCGTTTGTACTCCGTCCGCATCACCCACGCCCGGACCTGAGCCTGCAGCAGGACAATGGCTCGCTCCAGCTTGATGTACTCTGCCAGCACCCACAGGCGCTGCTGCTCCCTCCGCTGGCTGCCCACCCGTCGCCACCAGCCCTGGATGCGCCGTGCGCTGCTGGCCGCCACTAGCAGTGCCCTCCGCACCAGCTGTCCTCTCCACCACGCCTGGATGGCCATGGCCGCGGCCGTGTCAGGCTCCATCTGTGGGGACAGAGCACGGGTGGCCTCAGTGGGCTGGGAGAGGATTTAGGGATCGGCTATTCCCAGGGAGCTCACCTGTGTTTCCATGGGTCCCAGGTGCGTGGTTGGGTACAGAATGTCCACGGGGGGCAGCGACACCTCCTGATGTCAGAATGGCCTTGAAAACCCCACATGGGACAGGAGGAACGTGGTCCCGGGCCGCCCAGTGCGACAGAGTCACCAGACGGTGACAGCCCCACATCCTCCAATGTCCCCACAGCATCACTGCCCTCTGGGACTTCTGTGTCATTAGGGTGATTTGCAGCTAAAAACATTTGTCCACGTTAATTAAGCTGCATCTCCTGCATAGGAAGCAGAGCTGCGTGCGGCCTGCGAGAGCCGTTTTCTAACAGCCTCATTAGCAGGGCTCTCTCCTTTTTGAAGATAACGAGGGGAAAGAGCAGCCACAGCAGTCAATTGCAGTGCCTGGCCCATGGGGCTCAGTGGGACAGTGCTCACTGTGTCCCCCCAGCCCTGCGGGCACCAGTTTTGTCCTCGCAGATGAGCATCGCTCCGTTCGCCTGCGGTGGAGTTTCGGTGTTTGCCATGAGTCTATTTACTCCCAACCTTAATCTCAGAGGGGGGAGTATAAAATATTAATAAAAATAATAATGAAAAAAAAAAAACAAAAAGAAAGGAGTGGAGGCTGCAAGGAGTAGGAACACACTGGGATTGCGGAGTGAGAAACCTCTGTGAATACATGACCCCAAGGCCCTGTGCCAGGCATCAAGGGCTGGATGTGGCCAGGCTTTCCAGTGTTACAGCCCTTGGTAGTCATGGACATACAGGGACCTTCCCATCACCTCTTCCATCCTGCCCTCAGAAGGATGCCCAGGGAACATCATTACACCCCAGCTCTAGGACAACCACAGTTCCAACACAGGACTGAGGGCTTGGACGACCTGTGTCCATCGGATTGCAGGGCACTGGGTTCCCCCAGCCTCCAGATGGGGGTTGCCCGTTAGTCAGCCACCCACCGTGTCTAGGAGTGGATGCTCTCAGGGGATGCCTCTCATGGGGTCATGTCTGGCTGTGCTCACCTCTCCCCCCCATGCAGGTCGCCAACCTGCTGCGGCTCTTCCAGATCCCGCAGATCAGCTACGCCTCCACCAGTGCCAAACTCAGCGACAAGTCTCGCTATGACTACTTCGCCCGCACCGTTCCGCCTGACTTCTACCAAGCCAAAGCCATGTCGGAGATCCTCCGCTTTTTCAACTGGACCTACGTCTCCACAGTGGCCTCAGAGGGCGACTATGGCGAGACGGGCATTGAAGCTTTTGAGCAAGAAGCCCGCATGCGCAACATCTGCATTGCCACCTCGGAGAAGGTGGGACGCTCCATGAACAAGAAGACCTACGACGGCGTGGTGCGGGCGCTGCTGCAGAAGCCCAATGCCAAGGTGGTCGTGCTCTTCACACGCAGTGAGGACGCCCGGGAGCTGCTGGCAGCCGCCCACAGAGCCAATGTCTCCTTCATATGGGTGGCCAGCGATGGGTGGGGAGCCCTGGAGAGCGTGGTGGCGGGGAGCGAGGCGGTGGCGGAGGGAGCCATCACCATCGAGCTGGCAGCATACCCCATCCAGGAGTTCGCCACATACTTCCTCAACCTCCATCCCTATAATAACAGCCGAAATCCCTGGTTTCGGGAGTTTTGGGAGCAAAAGTTCAAGTGCAGCCTTCACATGCAGGACTGCAGCCGGCACTCCTTAAAGACGGGAAAGTTTGAGCCAGAGTCCAAGATCACCTTTGTGGTCAATGCGGTCTACGCCATGGCTCACTCACTTCACAACATGCACCGGGCGCTGTGCCCCAACACCACCAAGCTCTGCGACTCCATGAAGCCTGTCAATGGCAAGAGGTTCTACAAGGACTTCATGCTCAATGTTAATTTTGATGGTGAGTCCAGAGGTGGAGACGGGGCTTGGCTGCACAGCCGAATGGGTGGAGGGGCAGGGAGGATCAAGGAGGTCACACTCTCACTCTAATGTTCCACCTCCTCCTTGAGGTTTCGATCTCTCCTTGGAGACTTCAGCCACTTGCTCTGTGATTGATTTAGTCACCTCTCAGGGACTAAGCTGGAGGGAGAGCCTCAATCAGGAGCCCACAGCTCTGGGGTCAGTCAGAACCATCATTCCCTCTGGGCTGAGCCCTATGTACCACTCAGAGCCATGGAGGTTTGGGGGGCAGTGATACTGCACGGCTATGCAGACCCCCCTGCTTTGCCCTGCAGCATGGCTAGAGGCTGCCAACCATGGTGAGAGCATTATGCACCACTACTCTCACAATCCCAAACAATAATGCTGCATTCTAGGCATGAGGGGCAAGGGGACAGGTTGGAAATAGCCGCTTGGCCATGGTGGGCTGTGTCTCCTCGGTGCATCCCCGTGGGAGCGAGTGTGATCCCACACCATGGGCCAGCTGTCCAGGCAGTGACCATCTCCATCTCTCATCTCTCCAGCTCCATTCAGGCCAGCAGACACTGAGAGCGTTGTTCGATTTGACCGCTATGGTGACGGGATTGGGCGCTACAATATCTTCAACTATCACCACATGGATGGGCGGTACAGGTACCAGAAGGTGGGCTACTGGGCCGAGGGGCTCATCCTCAACACCAGCCTCATCCCCTGGGCAGACGTGTCCATCCCAGTGTCCCAGTGCAGTGATCCATGCAAGAAGAACGAGATCAAAAGCATGCAGCCGGGAGACATCTGCTGCTGGATCTGCATCCCCTGCCAGCCCTACGAGTACCTGCTGGATGAGTTCACCTGCATGGACTGTGGTTTGGGTTACTGGCCCAATGAGACCCTGAATGGCTGCTACGAGTTGCCCCAGGAGTACATCCGTTGGAAAGATGTCTGGGCCATCGGTCCCGTCACCATCTCTTGCTTGGGATTTATCTCCACTCTCTTTGTTTTTGGTGTCTTCATGAAGAACAATGACACTCCCATTGTGAAGGCCTCTGGACGGGAGCTCTGTTACATTCTCTTGACCGGGGTCCTCATGTGCTACAGTATGACCTTCATCTTCATTGCAAAGCCTTCCACCGAGGTGTGCACGCTCCGGCGCCTGGGGCTGGGCACATCTTTTGCTGTCTGCTATTCAGCCCTCTTGACCAAGACAAATCGCATCGCCAGGATCTTCAGCGGGGTGAAGGAGGGGGTCCAGCGCCCTCGCTTCATCAGCCCCACATCACAGGTGGTCATCTGCATGGCCCTCATCTCCTGCCAGCTGATCATCGTCATCATCTGGCTGCTGGTGGAGACCCCTGGTACAGGCAAGGAGACCGAGCCTGACAAGAGGTACATTGTCACCCTCAAGTGCAACAACCGTGACTCCAACATGCTCATTTCGCTCACCTACAACGTCCTCTTGATTGTCCTGTGCACGGTCTACGCCTTCAAGACACGGAAATGCCCTGAAAACTTCAATGAGGCCAAGTTCATTGGCTTTACCATGTACACGACCTGCATCATCTGGCTGGCCTTCCTGCCCATCTTTTACGTGACCTCCAGCGACTACCGAGTAAGAGCCTGAGTTCTGGGGATACCCATGGGGCCCAACCAGAGCAGCCCGCATGACCGGGGCAGCACAGGTCTGGGAGGGTCTGGGGAAGGGCTGATGAGGGCCCCATCCACGCTCTTGCCTGGGTGTGTGATGCTACCACACCTGTGACGCTCACCCCTCTGCCTCCAGGTGCAGACCACCACCATGTGCATCTCAGTGAGCCTCAGCGGCACAGTGGTCCTCGGCTGCCTCTTCACTCCCAAGCTCCACATCATCCTCTTCCAGCCACAGAAGAATGTGGCCAGCCACCGCGTGGGCACGGCGCGCTTCAGCATGGCGGCCGCTGGCTCCAGCCAGTCCCACGGTGAGTGCAGCTGGGCTGGGGAGGGACAGGGGGACAGCTGGGAGGGGGACCTGCAGAGCAGGAGGTAGGGGTGCTGCAGCACCCAAGGGATCAGCCGCTGTATCCCAAGTCCTCCACCCCAGAGCTGCTCCTGGGGGTCTGTCACTGCACTGGGATACCCCAGGTGGGGGCTGCTGCTGGATCCCCCCTCTCATAATTGGTGCCTTTCCCCACCAGGCTCGGCCTCACAATACGTGCCCACAGTGTGCAATGGCCGTGAGGCGGTAGACTCCACGACGTCGTCCTTGTGAAGGCTGGAGGGAGGCCATGCCCCAGCCCATCCCTTCACAGGGAGCAGCAGCCCCAGCGTAGGGGCTGGAGGAGCAGGAAGGTGGCCCCCAGCCCAGCCTCAGCATCACAGCACTCATCCCTCATGCCCATCAGCGGTGCGCAGCCCCATTCCCAGCTCCCTTGCACTGAGCTGCACTGTCCATCACGCTTTGCTAGCCCTGAGCCATGGCCCACCATACCCCTCCTCCACGCAGAGCACGCTGCCCTCACTCACCCCACTTTCTCTCCAATGTCACAACCCCCTCGGATGAGCCAGGCACCACACCAGCCTCCCCAGCACACCTGGACCCCCACACCTGTACCGGTGGCACTTTCTCTTTTCCTCTTCATTTTTACTCCTGGGTTTGCAGGCTCCCAGCCACAGCCCTGTCCCTGAGGAGCTCTGCATGCTCCCATCCCATGGCAGCAGAGGGACAGGAGCCTCCCCCGACACCCGCTCCATGCCTTGGGGCACTGCAGACCCCAGCAGCACCTGAAGAGGGCCTCAGAGGACTGTTGAGTGATGGGGCCCCAGGGGGCTGAGCCCTTTTTAAGCGTAGATTTTTTCTGTGCCCAAGATTCCTCTTTTTTTTTTTTTTTTTTTTTTGTAATTTACGTAAATAAAGTGTTCTTTTGTTGGTTGTGGTTTTTTTTTTTCTTTTTTTCCTTTTCCTTTTCTTTTTTTAAATGCGTTCTGCCTTTCCCCAGGGCTGGCTGAGCCTCAGAAGGACCCCATGTGTGCCCAGGACAGAGGTGGGGGCCTGGCTGCACTTCTGTTTGCTTTCCTAGCCTCATGATGTCACTGTGCCTGATGCCGTGCGCTGCTCCTTGGTGAGCTGGATGCAGCCAGTAGAGGCCCTGCAAGAACTGACAGTGAGCAGTAGCTGTGAGCACACTGCAGGGTCCTGTGCAGGATGCAGAATCCCAGGCACAAAAGGCACACAGGTGGCCCCCAGGTACTTACAACCTCCTGGGATGGGATTTGCCTCCCACCTTCCTTCCTGCATCAAAAGTTTGTGACAACATGGGAATATGGCCAAGCACCACTGGTGACAGCGTGTGGCTCTGCGTGGCACCAGTCCTGTCACCATAGCAAGTATCTGTGGCCTGAGGAGGTGGTGATGCAGAGAACGTAACCCCGGGGAGCCTTTCGTGCCTCAAAAAGTGCAAATGAGCCATGCATAAAGCCCAGAGCGATGCACCCTGCCCAGCTCCTGGCTAATCATCACAGCATGGTTGTGTCCTAAGGGACCTCCCACCCCCAGCCCCACTCCTGCCATGGTCTGACTGTCCCCCAGCTCGGGCTGCCCAGGGCCCCTCCATGGCCTGGGGCACCTCCAAGGTTGGCACCCACAGCTCTGCGCAGCAGTGCCAGCGCCTCACAGCCCTTTGAGTGAAGAATTTAGCCCTAGCATCTCACCTAAATCTCCCCTCTTTCAGTTTAAAATCGTTACCCTTTGTCCTATCAGACCGTGTAAAAAGTCGCTCACCCCGACGTTCCAGGTGCAGAACCCTCCTCCTCCTCTCTGGGCACGAGCCGCAGGGTCCCCCAGCCCCGCCGGAGCGCAGCGGTGCGCGGTGCGCCGCGGAGCCGCCGGAGGGCGCCGGGTTCCGTCCCGCGGGGTCAGCGCCGCCCGAACCGCCACCACCTGGTCCGCGCCGTCGTGCTCTCGTGCCTCCCAACGAGCTCTGCGGTCATATGTTCAGCGACCCCGGCTGCTCCCTGGGTGCAGCATGGAGGGCCGGGCACAGGGGAAGCTCAGTCTCGTGGCTCACCGATGAACCTCACGGCCTCCCGCCGCAGGGGCTCCTGCGGGCTCTGTAGGTAGAGCAGGCTCTGGCCCAGGTAGTCCTGCGCTGCGCTCTTCCTCCTCTCCACCAGCTGGAGAGAAAAGGGCACGGAGTCAGCGCGGAGCAGAACTGAGCCTGTCCTGGGCTGTGGGAATGCGCGCACCAGGCACTCGCCGATCTGCCAGAACTGTGCCACCTCTGCCAGGCGCTGCAGCCGCCTCCAGCGCAGGAACCGTGTGGCACCAAGGAAGGCTTTCTGGGAGGCCTGCCAAACGGCTGAGATGCCACTGCAGTCCGAGCAGAGGCAGAGCCCGCGATCCTCGCAGCCCCTCCGCAGGGGGGATGCAGCTGCAGGGCTGACGCTGCCGTGGGCTGCAGCACCCCTGTGTTTGGGGGGCACCGCAGGGGCAGCGCCGCCCTCCCCCAAATGAACGCAGTTCCCACCTTGGCCACGCTCTCTTCCTCGTCGTGCAGGTGCAGATACAGCGGGACCAGGCTCCTGTACACCTCCTTCCGCATCTTCCTCTTCTCTCTGCCCTCCACAAAGCTCAGCGTGTCAAGGAAGAGGTGCATGGAGAGCTGGCGCACCGTGCCGGACTCCTGCGAGGAGGAAGGAAGGATGTAAATGTCAGCTCCAAGTCTACTGTGAGCAGGGCCAGCACCGCCAGCGTGGGGACACTGGGGGCCCGGCCACATCCCTAGCAAGCTGGGCTCCCTGCTCCCCTTACGTCCTCAAAAAGCGCTGGGAGATTGCCGGCCAGCTCCAGAGCCACGAGGCTGAGCTTCCCCCTCTCCAGGAGCCGCAGCAGGGTGCTGAGCACTGGCAGGGCCACGGCGCGGGCGCCGCTGTCTGCATCCTGTAGCTGCTCCATGATGCACGGCAGCAGGCCGAGCATTTTCCTCGCCTGCGGGAAAAACAGCCCAACAGAGACCATTGCTGGGGCAGAACGGCTCCAGCTGCAGCCTCCCTACTGGCTTGTCATCGTGGCACGGCGCCGGCAGGCAGGGCGGTCCCACACAGCCCCGGGGCAGCAGGCAGCTGATGGGCAGAGAGCTGCTCCTGCTCACCACGTCCGGCCTCTTGCTGAGCTCCAGGATGCTCCTGAGCACCAGCTGCTGCGTGCCCACGCTCTGGCTCTGCAGACAGGTGTTGAAGAGGCTCACGACGCGGTGCAGCTCTTCACTGGGGTCCACGCACTCCAGCATCTGCAACACACGTGGCTCTTAGTGCTGAGTCCTACCACCAGCTCGGGGCAAGGACAGCAGGGCACGGCCAGGCCTGGCCCCGAGGGAGGCAGCAGGGTTGGTGTGGAGGTCCCGCAGCTCCACGTTCACTGCTTCTGCAGCTGTTGCTCACCTCAGCGAGGAAGACCATGGCCACCATCTCCCAGGAGCAGAGCTTGGTGCTAAGCAGCTCAACCAGCTGATGGAAGATGGGGTCACGCAGAGCACCAGGCAGTTCCCTCATCACCCTGGCAGGGATAAGAAGGCACCATCAGCCCTGAGCCGGGCGGGCACAGCTCTCCTGGCTGTGCTCTGCTGCCACAGTGCCCCAGGGGCCACAGGCTGTGTGCTGTGGCAGCACTTTGTCTGAGAGCTGGGGACTCCCCATCACCACAAGGAAGGGCTCTCACCTGGCCACCACCTGCACGCCCTGGAGGTGGGTGACGGTGCTGAGAAGCGCGTCCCAGCCCCCCTGCTCCTGGATGGCCTCCATCTGCCTCTGGAGGCCCACGCTGCAGAGCAGCACCTTCAAGGCCTGCACCGCGGACCTGCAGGTGGAGAAGGGTGCGAGTCGCATCGGGAGCCCCAGCACCGGGTCCTGGTGCAGCGGGGGGACGGGGATGTGGCACCTGATGGGAGTGAGCTGGTGCTGCCGGTGCTCCTCCCAGAAGATTCCCACCTCCTGCAGTGTCAGCTCCGTGGTGAAGGACACTTGCAGCAGGAGGGCCAGGAAGAGCTGGGGGAAAATGGCCTCGGCCTTCTTCATGACAAGAGGCAGCTGGAGTATCTCAGGGATGGTCCTTGCTGCCTGCTGAAAGCACCCAGACGCTGTCCTTTTCCCATCCCCCAGGTTTCCAGCCCACCTCAAGAGGTGTGGGAATGGAGGGACAGATGGAGAGGGACACCCCCAGAGCACCAGGGGTGTGTTCCAGTGCCCCAGGGCAGAAACCAGGCTTGGGAGTGGACAGGGAAGGGGAGAAGGGGCTCAGCTGAGCTGGGTGAGTGAGGAACTCACGGCCAGGGCGAGGACACGTGGCCTGTCCCCAGTGGATGCAGACATGTGTCGCAGAGAATGGTTTGTGAGCACTTGGAGCAGCTCCTGCAGCACCTTCTCCACAGCTGAGGGCTCCGAGAGCATTTCCCTCCACATGGTGACGGTGACACTGCAGGTCCCCAGGGCTGTCAGCGTGGCTGCCCCCGCCTGGCTGACGGCCGTGGGGCGGGGAGGGGAGAGGAGCCCCAAGGGCCGTGGGCCCCGGACCTGGTGCAGGTGGGGGAGCAGCCCAGCAGGCTGCTAACCATCTCCCTCGGGTGTTTGCCGGCCAGCACGAGCAGGGCCCTGCCCAGGCTTTCGAGAGCCGGCTCAGCTTCGATGGAAGGCAGGCTGCCGTAGATCGTCTTCACAATCTTTCGCACCTGGAGGGGGACACACGTGAGAATGGAAAGGCACTGGAGCAGGGCCCTGCCGCCATCCCCTCTGCTGCCTGCTGGCCAAACGCGGTGCCAGGGATGGGGCAGAGCCCCGAGGGCGGGAGCTGTGGCAGCTGCAGGTTCCCACCTGCCCTGGAGGGAAGCGAGCCTCTGCTGCCAGCACATCCACCATGTGGGCAGCCAGCTTGGTGCTGTGGAGGCTCGGCGCTGTCATGCTCTCAATGGCTGTGAGGAAGATGCTCACCCTTTCAGGGTACTGAAGGTATTTCAGGAACATCTGTGGGAGAAAGGGGAGGAGGGACGACTCATCCCCTGCAGGGCTGCTTGGCTGTGCGGGCGCCTCAGGAGAGCTGGGAGCAGGGGCTGGGCTGGGTGATGCCTGGGGTACAGAGCGTGAGGGCCCCGCGGGCACCAGGGCTGCTGGGGGACAGTGCCTGCACTCTTCCTGTCACTGCAGGCCTGGGTTCTCCTGTGGGCTCAGGGTTTCCTCTTCTTACCCTGAAGATTTTGCTGGCATTGTTCTCTTGGGAAACGT